TCATTGTTACAGCAGTAGTGGACACATCCTACAGATATATTCATTGTTATAGCAGCCTTGGACACACCCTACAGACAGGTCATTGTTACAGCAGCAGTGGACACACCCTACAGACAGGTCATTGTTACTTCGGCAGTGGACACATCCTACAGATATATTCATTGTTACAGTAGCAGTGGGCGCACCCTACAGACAGGTGGACACACCCTACAGGTATGTTCATTGTTACAGTGGCAGTGGACACATCCTACAGGCAGGTCATGGTTACAGCTATAGGTTTCGTGGCTGAGGAGACTGATGACTACTCTTCTCCCACAGGATCCCACTAGACCACTCTGGAGGATATACTCGAAAGACTCTACATCTTATAATAAAAGATACTTGCTCATCTATGTTCATTGTTCTCTATTTATAATAGCTAGAACCTGGAAATGATGAAGATGACCATCAACTGATGGATGAATAATGAAAATATGGTACTTTTACTCAATAGAATATTATTCAGCCTTTAAGAAATATGAAATTATGTGTTGTATAAAAACCTTTTTAATTTGATATCCACATATAAGAGAAAACATGCAATCTGGATTACCTCACTAAGGATAATTATTTCTAGTTCCACTCATTTACCTGCAAATTTCATAATTTTGTCCTTATAAAGTTTTAATAATTTATGAAAAAGAAAGCTGATTTGAATATAGATTAGTGGTAACTGAAGGTTGGGTAGAACAGAGCGGGGTGGTAAAAGAAAGCTGCATTTGATTGACACTGGCTGTAAATGGTAGGAAAATATACTAGTAAATCATAGTAACATTATTAATGAATGGAATGTTAATCAAAATAATATAGAAAAGAAAAATATGAATACATTTGGTGAGAAATGGATCCTATAAATAAAATATCATACCCGCATTAAATTAGACAATAGTTATGGACATCAGTGTGACAACTGCTTTTACACCAGCTTGACACAGAAGAGTCATCTGACAGGAAGCAACCTCGACTGAGAAAATGTTCCAGAAGAGCAGCTGTCAGCAGAAAAGTCTATAGGATAGTTTTTCAATTAATGGTTGATGGTGGAGGGCCCAGCCCATTGTCGGTGAGAACTCCCTGGGCTGGTGGCCCTGAGTTCTATAAGACAGCAGGCTGAGCCAGCTATGAGGAACAAGCCATTAGGCAGCACTTGTCCATGGCCTCTGCATCAGCTCCTGCCTCCAGTTTCCTGTCTTGACTGTCTTCAGTGATGAACTTCAGTAATATTGAAGTATAAACAAAATAATCAATTTGTCCCAAGCTCTTTCTGATTGTGGTGTTTTAACACAACAGTAAAAACCCTAAAAAAATTCAGCATGTTTAAAAAAAAAAAAAAAGATCTTAACCCATTAATCTAAACTGGAGTGATAGGTCAGCAGTTAGCATACTGCCTGCTCTTCTCAAGGGCCCAGAATCAATTCCCAGCACCCACATGGCAGCTAACCACTGTACATACCTCCAGATTAAGGGGATAGAGTGGTGTCTTCTTGGCTTTGTGGGTACTGTAGAAATATTATACACAGATATACATTCAAAATATCTACACACATAAGATTTAAAAATAAATAAATCTTATTTTTAAAAAAAGTATAAACTGTCACAAAGTGAAATCAACTTTGTGAGCCAAAATGAAATAATTTTTACTTAGACAGCACAGAGTCAAACAGAGAATGCAGAAGGTCTCCATGATGAAGGCAAGTGTGAGTTCTGACATAATTTGCTAAACTTGTGTTATGTATGTTCATATATATTCAAATAGAGACTTCATTTTCAAAGTATCTTCTACAGTGTGGATCCTGGCCAAAAACCTAGAAAATCACTGACTCCAGTAATTCCAAAAATGCTGAGGTTCTCAAACAGACTCATCTGAGACTGGTGAGAGAGTACCAGATTCAAAATAATTTGGTGAACACTTCTGTCTGTTGTCACTACCATCCTACCAACAGATCTGTACACAAAGAGAGCAGTATTGCACTTTATCTTCTAGCTTAACGATAAAAACTGCATGGTATTGGTACAAAGACAGGCAGGAAGATCAATGGAATAGAATAGAAGACCCAGAAATAAACCTACACACCTATGGTCCTTTGATCTTTGACAAAGGAGCTAAAAACCATTCAGTGGAAAAAGGAGAGCATCTTCAACAAATGGTGCTGGTTCAACTGGAGGTCAACATGTAGAAGAATGCAAATCAATCCATTCTTATCTCCTTGTACAAAGCTCAAGTCCAAGTGAATAAAGGACCTTCACATAAAACCAGATACACCAAAACTAATAGAAGAGAAAGTAGGGAAGAACCTTGGATACTAGGCACAGGGAAAAAGTTCCTGAACAGAACTCTAAGATCAAGAATTGACAAATGGGACCTCATAAAACTGCAAAGTTTCTGTAAGGCAAAGGACACTGTCCATAGGACAAAGCGGCAACCAACAGATTGGGAAAAGATCTTTACCAAATCCCACATCCTGTAGACGGCTAATATCCAAAGAACTCAAGAAATTAGAATCCAGACAACCAAATAACCCTATTTAAAAATGGGGTACAGAGCTAAACAAAGAATTTTCAACTGAGGAAACCTGAATTGCCGAGAAGCACCTAAAGAAATGTTCAGCATCCTTAGCCATCCGGGAAATGCAAATCAAAACCACCCTCACACCAGTCAAAATGGCTAAGATCAAAAACTCAGGTGATAGCAGATGCTGGCAAGGATGTGGAGAAAGAGGAACATTCCTCAATTGTTGGTGGGACTGCAGGCTGGTACAACCACTCTGGAAATCAGTCTGGTGGTTCCTCAGAAAATTGGACATAATATTACCTGAGGACCCAGCTATACCACTCCTGGGCATATACCCAGAAGATACTCCAACATATAACAAGGATATATGCTCCACTATGTTCATAGCAGCCTTATTTATAATAGCCAGAAGCTGGAAAGAACCCAGATGTCCCTCAACAAAAGAATGGATACAAAAAATGTGGTATATTTACACAATGGAGTACTACTACTCAGCTATTAAAAACAATGAATTTGAGAAATCCTTAGGTAAATGGATGGAACTAGAAAATATCATCCTGAGTGAGGTAACCCAATCACAAAAGAACACACATGGTATTCACTCACTGATAATTAAATATTAACCCAGAAGCTCGCAATACCCAAGAAGCAACTCACAGACCACATGAAGCTCATGAAGAAGGAAGACCAAAGTGTGAGTGCTTTGGTCCTTCTTAGAAGGAGTAACAAAATACTCAAGGGAGCAAATATGGAGACAAAGTGTGGGACAGAAACGGAAGGAGGGGCCATCTGGAGACTGTTCCACCTGGGTATCCATCCCATGTGCAGTCACCAAAGGTAAATACTGATGTGGATGTCAGGAAGTTCATGCTGACAGGAGCCTGATATAGCTATCTCCTTAGAGGTCTGCCAGAGCCTGACATATACAGAAGTGGATGCTCACAGCTAACCATTGAACTGATCATGGGGTTCCCAATGGAGAAGTTAAAGAGAAGACTGAAGGAGCTGAAAGGGTTTGTGGCCCATGGGGAGAGCAACAATACCAACCAACCAGAGCTCCCAGGGTCTAAACCACCAGCCTGGGAGCACATAGGGAGGTACCCATGGCTCCAGCTGTATATGTAGGGGAGGATGGTCTTGTCAGGCAAAGGTAGGAGAGGAAATCCTTGGTCCCATGAAAGCTGGATGCCCAGTGTATGGGAATTCAAGGGTGGGGAGGCAGGAGTGGAGGTGTGGGTGAGGGCACATACTCACAGAAGCAGGAGGAGGGGTCCTAGGATAGGGAGTTCCTGGGGGAACATCAAGGGATAACATCTGATATGTAAATAAAATATCCAATTTTAAAAAATGAGGGGTGAGGGCATGTGGGAGGGGCTACGGTGACAAGTTTGATACTGAGTACTCTCACACCCAACGCAATTATTCCTGGCAAAAAAAGGATAATGGCCAGGGTGCCAGGTAAAATGGAAGACAAAATAAACATAACCTTGTAAGTGTGTGTTTGCATTTGAACTATACTTTTATTTAATTCCATATAGTGAACAAAAAAGTTAATCAGCTCTTTGATGGACCACATATAAAATAAGAATGTAGGCCACACATGCAATATAGTCGTCCCACGTAGGTTCACAGAGCTGATGTAGCAAGCCTTGGGCGCTCACCACTCAGCTTCACCAATGGCTTTTGCAAACACATAGTCTCTCCCTCCAAAGCACATGACACCATCTTTCAAGTAGAATTTCCATCTGTTCTTGCTCCGGTGAATCTGGAGAGAGAAAGATGCTCTAGGTCCATAAACTAAAGGACTACTTATATTCTTTAAAATAGCAAATAGGATTTTTCTCACTTATATTCTTTAAAAGAGCAAATAGTCACACTGACCAAATAATAATTTATTCATTCTCTAACAAACATTTGAATTCCCATAAGTCAAATTCTAGCATAAGTACTGGAGAAAAGTCAGTCATCCATACAGTAAGGACTGTCTCTCTGTGTCAAAGTGTCAGGGATTGGCTCCACAGTCACTTAGACCCAGGTCTGTGGACTGCTCAAATCCTTTATACAAATAGTTTTATTGTTACATACAACCTATGTACATCCTCCTGGAAGATTTACATAATGTCTAGGTTTTTCATAACAGCCAATGCAATCCAAATGCTTTTAAGTTAATGGCAACACTGAATTGTTAAAAAAAAAAAGTGACCAAAAATAAGTCTGCATGTGTTCAATAAACATGTAATTTTTCAAATGTTTTTTATCCACTTGGTTGAATCCACAGAGGAAATTGCAGATATATAAAGATGACTGTAGACTTTAATGTATTACGAATTTAAAAACAATTCCTGCCTTTGAAGAGTTTATATTTTAATAGAAAGGGAGACCAAACCTGAGCATTATCTCTTTCTACCTATATAATATGTTAGAAAGAAGAGGTGATTTTGTAGAGAAATGGTTTTTATACCAATTAAAAACATTATCTTCTATTTCCTTCAGGTATATCAAATTATGATTAAAAACCACTAAAGATATTAACATTCCCTTCATGCATGCTAGATTGCCAAGGATCTGAACGTCACATGACAGGCAGTAGCAGGGATGTGCGGATCCAGACAATGCTGGTAAGAGTGTCCCATGCACATCCCTCACCCCCTTACCTCTCTGCTTGGTGTCAGGCTGCACTCTGAGTGCCTGCCTCTGGTCCCTACCTCCGCAGTACAAATCAGGAAGCCTCATGTCAAAGGCCCACATCACCCATGACAGGTTCATGAGGAGTTCCAACAGCAAATGACTCTATTTCCTTGCTACCTTAGGCCTCGATGTCTGCCACACAGCTTACTTACAGTTTGATTCCTGTGTCACCAGCATTTGCTTTACCTGTCTGACTCTTCTCACATCTGACTTGCCTACCATCTTATCAGGTATGATACTTTTTTTTTTATTCTTTAAGAAATACTGTGTTTGAACACAACTGTTACCTCTTTAAGACAGAGATTATCATTTAGAGGCTGGAAGGCATAGGCTAATGTGGGCTGGGAGTGTGACCTCATGCCTTTGTGCAAAGCACTTGCCTCCCATGTGCTGCATGCTAGATTCAGTCCTCAGAACCACTGAGAAGGGGGTAGGAGAAGACGGTCACTGTCAAGTGTCACTATCCCACACAGCCCAGTGAAATGCTCCAACTACACCCTCAAACCTTTACAGAATTGGGCTGTAGATGGCTCAGTAGATAAAGTGCTTGCCATACAAACATTGAGACCCAGAAGCTGGGCACACTGGTGCACACTTGTAATCCCAGTGCAGGGGAAGGGAAGCACAGGCAGGATCACTGGGACCTGGTGGCCAGCCAGCCCAGACTTGCTTAGCTCCAGGCCAATGAAAAAGCCCTGTCTCTAAAATTAAGGTATGCAGTTCCTAAGAACTAATAACAGAGGTAACGTGACCTCTGACCTCCATGCACACTGTGCACCCACACAAATGTGCACACGATGTATACAGCCACAAAGAAATCCTTTACAGAATTAAACAGCTGCTCCCTGAGTCACTTGACTGCAAACTAAAACTCACCATCATAGTTCCCACTATTTTATATACCTTCCAGGATAAGTTCAATTAATAAACTCACAGTCCAAAATGCGAGCACAGTACCTTATCATACTGACAGACAATTACATTATCTGTGTCAAACAGGTCTGGCACATCCTGCTCACTGACATCATCTCCAGAATTTAGGGGATCCTAAAGATGAAAGATGATCACATTAAGGGATTTCATGATGCTTCAAATTTTTGTAAAGCTAGAAAGACATAGAAGTAAAGGGACCTGAAGAGACAGAATAGTATTTCTGCTTTAAAGTTAAATAACCTAGCTTTGAATTCCAGTTTGACCACTTGATAATTACATGGTTGACCTTGGGCAAGTTCCCCAATCCCCTGACTCTCAGTTTTCTCATCTCTGAAGGGACAAATGCAATGAGACCCACAGGGTACCAGACTGGCAAAACTGGTAACTCAGATGTTAGTTACCATAGGCAGATAAGTGAAGGCAGCCTCAAATGCACATCAACAGCCCTCACAAACGTAATTGCCACATTCTACCCAAACGACATCACATTTATTAGAAAAAGGATGAAGACTTTATCTCCCAAGCCGTCTACTATGACTACTTAAAAAGCAACAAACATAAATTCAAGTCCTAACGACTTAATACCCATTTAAATTACAGTTTAAAGTTGAAATGTTAAGGGCCCTGCATACAAATAACTCCGATTTTAAAAGACCGGAGATCGATCAATCTTAATTAGAAATGTATTGGTTGTGCAGTACATGGAAGCACACATCCTATTAGTTAACAGGCCAGCACTCTGCTCAGGGGAGCCTGGCTCACCTCTTCTAGGGTGTCTATTTGACGGTCCTCATTGTCGCTGCTGTTTGCAGTTGAGTCTTCATTTGACACACTGTCCACTTCTTCCTCCAGCACCTTGAGGTCGCCGGTGTCGATGATCCCTGGGAATTCGTTCTCATCTGCTTCCCTTACACTTCCCACCTCTTCAGTACAAGAGTTATCGCCGCTTCCATCGATTTGAATTATTTCATTAATGTCATCATCGGTTTCCTGAATATTCAGATCCCTCTCAGAAGTACAATTCTGCAAACAGAGGAGGCATGATCAAGTTCTTCAAGTTAAGTGAGATATTAACACACTGAATCTGAATTTTAAATGACTGGCAAATACCAAACAATTGATGATTTAAACTTATTTCTGCCTTCTGAGATCAGTCTCTTAATGTGGAATTCTGGGATATCTAGAATCTCTAACAAAAATGATTGTCTGGTTTTGAGTAAACATGCTACCAGACTCCAGCACCAAATGAGCTCACTGCTTTCACCTCATATTTGCCAGCTTTTGTAGATAGCCCCTTAGACAGCATGTATCTGCTGAATCTTAACTATTATGCTTGATGTGGAAAAGACAGTGGTGTGCTCAAGAAATGAATGCAGACTCCAAAGAACTATACAGTCAAAGGAGCTAATACAGAACTGCTTTGTTATTGTACCTGACCTGAGGTGCCTATTGTAGAACTGTTCATAAAGACAAAAGTAAAAGTATCTAATGTGAGGGCTGGTGAGACACTCAGTGGAAAGGGGGGCCTGCTGGCAAGCCTGACAACCAGAGTTTGCTCCTGGGACCCACATGGAAGAAGGAACCTACTCCTGAAAGTTGTCTCCTGACCCCACACATACACTGAGACACATACCTACTCACATCACACATAGACACAAAATAATTAAAATGTAAACATATCTAAGAAGAGACAACCTGTACCATGCAAACACTCATCAAAGTAAAACTGAAATGATGGTATTGGTGTGGGCACACAGAGTGTTACAAACAATACATAAGAGTATTATCTAACAACAGAAGGATTGGTTTGAGAAGAAAACAACAATCCTAAGTTTCTATGCATCTATCATTACCATTACTGTTGTCTCAAAAATATGTAAATAGAAAGCAAGGCTGGGATGGAGCTCAGCAGGAGCACCTGGGCTTGTTATGTCCTAAAGCGCTGGGCTCCCTACAAACAATAAAGAAAATAACTAAAGGAAGTAAAAGAAGTAGGTACATTTATAAAAACTACATCATTGGTGCCAAGACTTGGATTTAGAAACTCACAGGCTCACATCTCCTGCTGCCACATGGATTTTGCAGCCATCAAATCAATTGGTAAGCTCCCTTCCCCCACTTGTCAGTATATATGTCCCCTGGTCCCAAAGGAGGATTGTTGAGCTCCCAGTCACCCTGTAGTGTCCTTGAGAACAGAGACATTTAGTCTTTATGACTAATCTTCTCACCAAACCTTGTTCTAGGACCTCTACCCCCTGGTGACCCCTTCCCTCTCACTCTCTGGGAAGCGGTTGTCTGACAATGCTGAAAAAATCCTAGGCCAAGACCTAGGTAAACTGTTCTCCTGCCATTACTCAGGGCATTGGCCCAGAGCTTAGCCCCAGTTCACCACATGATGACCTGGTGATCTGGCCTGGCTACCTTCTGCCTTTCCTACCAATTGTCCTCCAGACATAGGAACAGACAAATCACTAGCTCCTCCTACTCTCACCCAAGGGGAAGGTCTTCACTGTCTTGTCCCTACTAGGACACCTCCTGGTCTAACTCAGGCTAAACTTGGCCCCTATACCCACCAACCGATAACTCTACATAGCCGTTTAAAGGTGCTTTTATAACTCGCCAGCAATCTAGCCCTCCCTCCTCATTCTCTATCTGCTTGCTCTCACTCCTAGCTCCCCACTCCCTGATTCCACCACTGCGTATTCCATCCTGCACCCTGCGTGCTACAGCTCCAAGTGGCTGCTGCAGAGCCACTCAACGCCACCACCGGGCACTTAAGCACTCCAGCACTCCACTGCTCTTGCAACTGAGCAGAGTTGCTAGGAGACAGAGCGAACACTGCTTCAGGCGCTGCTCTCTGTCTTGGTCCCCTTTCTGATACTCTGCCAATCACCCGTCATCTGAATGTTTGTCTTTGCTATGCTTTTGTTGTTCCATTCTAAGGTATAGCACATGACTTTCCTCTAGACAGAGCTGCAGGTTCAGCACCATCATAGCTAAGGGTGGTCATATGACTGGCTGCCACTTCAGTGCCATCTTAACTAAGGACAGTTCCAGGAGAATCCACCATCTTTGTTATGGGAAGTCCCCAGTTCACTATCTTTAAAAGAGTACAGCCTGTCAAAGCTACTTAACAATTAAGATAAGGTTTTCATTCTATCCTGCTTTGGTAAATAATAATTTCTAAATAGTAAAATGTTAAAGATTGCTGCCTTAAATATACATTTAACCTTGTTTTTGCTACTGCCATTAAGTTACAATGTGGTCTTTATTTGCTAGGTATATTAAGAACAAATATAGTTAGAGAACAAATATAGAGTTTAGTTACAAAAGTAACTAAACAAATACAGGTTGTCTAACTCAGATATGCTTAATAGACTAGCTCTCAATCTTGTCAAAAATCTGCTAAATATAATGTTTATGCTTACGACAGACAAAGACTCTCAGAGCCTAACAGTGACAACTTCCCCAAAGGCCTCCAAGAAGATATGGGCACAGCAACAGGATTCTACCTGGATTGTGGTACAAAAACCACTGTTCCGTTGCCTTGCTTGCTGCCAGGGTTTGGCCTACACTATGGACAAACAGAGGATGCCCAGAGAGTTAAATGTCTCAAACTACCTAAGTCAAGGTGAGTCATTTCTCATTTCTCTGAATACAGCAGAGGAACAGATACAGAAAATGTGGTACATTTACACAATGGAGTACTACTCAGCTATTAAAAACAATGAATTTGAGAAATCCTTAGGTAAATGGATGGAACTAGAAAATATCATCCTGAGTGAGGTAACCCAATCACAAAAGAACACACATGGTATTCACTCACTGATAATTAGATATTAGCCCAGAAGCTCACAATACCCAAGAAGCAACTCACAGACCACATGAAGCTCATGAAGAAGGAAGACCAAAGTATGGGTGCTTCGGTCCTTATTAGAAGGAGTAACAAAATACTCACAGGAGGAAATACAGAGACAAAGTGTAGAGCAGAGACTGAAAGAAAGACCATCCAGATACTGCCTCACCTAGGAATACATCCCATATACAGTCACCAAACCCTGACACTATTGCAGATGCCAAGAAGTGCTTGCTGACAGGAGCCTGTTATAGCTGTCTCCTGAGAGGCTCTGTCAGAGCCTGACAAATACAGAGACAGATGCTTGCAGCCAACCACTAGACTGAGCACAGGGACTCCAATGGAGGAGTTAGAGAAAGGACTGAAGGAGCTGAAGGGGTTGGTAACCCCATAGGAAGAACAACAATATCAACCAACCAGAGCCCCCAGAGCTCCCAGGGACTAAACCATCAACCAAAAAGTACACATGGAGTGACCCATGGCTCCAAGCCACATATGTAGCAGAGGATGGCCTTATCGGACATCAAAGGGAGGGGAGGCCCTTGATTCTGTGAAGGTTTGATGCCCCAGTGTAGAGAAATGCCAGGATAGGGAGGTGGGAATGGGGGGGAGCACCTTCCTAGAAGCAGGGGAAGACAGGATGGGATAAGGGATTTACAGGGGAGAGGGGAAGAAACCAGGAAAGGGGATAACATTTGAAATGTAAATAAAGATAACCTCCAATAAAAGAAAAGAAAAAAGGTAAAACTGAACATAAAAAGTACAAAAATTTTGGACTGCTAAAAGGATAAAAATGATGTCATTACTGATCCTAAAAACATTTTAAAAAATTTTTAAAAGGTACTATTAAGTTTGTCACAATTAATTTTACAAATAGGTAGAATGAATTCCTGTCACAACAGCAAATAAAACTATTAAAGTTTATATAAGAAACACCAATTGACCTAAGAGAGGCACTAAAGAAAAGTAATCTATAGTTACAATCTGCCCCACAACTTCCCCTTCTTGGGAGGGGACAGTAGGGGAGAGGCTGTGTGAGGGGAGGACTGGGAGGAGGGGCTGTGTGAGGGGAGGACTGGGAGGAGGGGCTGTGTGAGGGGAGGACTGGGAGGAGGGGCTGTGTGAGGGACGGACTGGGAGGAGGGGCTGTGTGAGGGGAGGTCTGGGAGGAGGGGCT